GTACCTAGTAAACATCACTGAATTATAACACTCGTACTTGATAAACTGCTCACAGTGTGATGACACTCTGGTGAGACTCGCCAGCTGAGAGAGACTCGCTCCTGTGTAATGAATGTCACGTGAGTAACTACCAGCACCACCATACCCATGCACGTGCGTTCTGCTTTCACTGTCGTGACTGATGACTGTCACGCCAACTCCATTCTTGTCACTCATGTCGCAGTAAACGGTGAATGGTGTAAGGCCTCCCGCGCCATCTGGATCAATTTTGCAATTTCCGCTTACACTAACGTATTTCCTCCTTGCAGAACAGGAATCCGTTATGATGGGACCGCACTTAAAGCCATCCCCAATAAAGCCACGGTCACACTTGCACGAATATGATCCACGTTCATTTGTACAACTGGCATGCTGATGACAGTCATTTGTATTTCTATCACATTCATTTAGATCTGTTGAACAGACCACATAACCATAGTAACTTTGTGTGCTGATCACCACACTTTTCTTTTGTTAACATTTCTTAAAATTTGGTTTTACATCAAGACAATGTCTCCTTGTCGAAGCTTTAGGATGTATTAAGATGCAGTGGCTCGTGTCTTGTATTCTACGAGAACAAGGCGCAGAAGCTCTCGCTCATGGAAAACAAGGTGAGTAAGTGGTTTATATGTTTTAGTAGACGCACTAAAATATTACATACAGTCTAAAAACTTTGATGTATGTTAAGCACAGATGCACACTATTTTTTTTCTCTAAAAACTATCCGCAAATGGACAGTAATACGAGAACCAATCAGGCCAAGGATTTGAACACATTAAGTCACTAAAAATGTAATTTAGAATTCTTTCTGCGTATTCACTGTTTGTTTTACCTATTTTCCTTTATTTTTTTCTATGTGTAAATTTTAAATGTGATGTTCAAACTCTGTTGTTGCTGCTGCTGTTGTTGTTGTTGTTAAATACATGTGCAATTTTGATAAATCTCCGTAAAGTCATGATCAATTTATGTCCCGTTCTAAGGTTTGCTGATATTTTTGACCCTTCTTCCACCAAAGCACAAAAGATAACAGCGTGAAGAAACATCCGCAGGATTCGTGTTATTTCAAAATCTGCTATTGTTTACGACTTCTAATTTGCTTTAATACGCAATGATTCATATTTTACCTTTCTTACATGTGTATGGATGACAATCACTACACTGCACGTCATTCCATTCATAGCTGTATTCCACACCAAGTGCGTGCACACAATCTTCTCCTCTGAAATTATTTGGCTGATTTTTGGCCCAAGCTGTAAAGTTTCCTTCTCCTCGATCCACCCAAGTAAAGTTGCCTTCTATGGTTCTATCATTCAAGCCCAGCCAAGATTTCGCGCCAATATGTCGATGCTGTAAATAGACATTTTCTTCATCGCTACTGACATCAACAAGGACCGAGTCTTCTTGTCGACATTTTTGTACCGCTGTGGTCCAGTTTGTACAACTGACACTTGTGAAGTAGCAGTAGCCATTAAAGTAGCTCCAACCAGGATCACAGATGTCTGAGAAAAGAAAAAACATTTGTCAGCGCTTTATGTTCAGTAAATGGGGAGGGATTATTTCTTAGCTCTTTTTCATCTGGGCATGACAAAAAAAAACGTTCTTACCTGTTACGACGGCATAACTAACTGAAACTGGATCATATCTTGTCGCAAACAGCTCCTTGACACAAGTTCTGAATCCAGACGTATTCATGTTCTACAAATATGAAACAAACATAATGCTATAGTCATTAATACTGCTAATAATGATGACGATGACGATGACGATGATGATGACGTTACTGACAAAATTCGACTGCAAGAGCAGTACTTGTGGTAATTTTAACGGAAGTGAATTTTTCTAAGTAATGATCTCTTGTTTGTACTACAACATTTTATAACCTGGAAATGGGAAATAAACAGAAAAAGTTATTTGACTCGGTAACTTTAATTAACAATAATCTGTTTTAGTAGAATTCTAACTGAAATTTGTTTCAAATAACGGTTTACAATTATTTCTCGACGTATTATTTAAGAGTCACTGACTGGAAATGTCGAGAATGGCTGGCCACGTTAGAAAAATCGAAAATCCTGAAACTTTGCCTAAAGAACGCTTTTAGGGAGCTACTTTTGAAAATATTATTCCGATTTTCTTAGAATTTACAGTCTTCGAGAAATTCGCAAAAAACGAAAATATAGCTTTTTGCCTCAGTAAATATACTAAAAATATTTGGAAAATTGACAAAGTTCTCAGTATCTGCGTCGACACAATTTACAAAACTAGAACACGGTGTAAACTTAGCATAAGAGCTTTACTTTTCGTCTATCTAACAATAGGAAGTTTTAAATTTTTCAAACATTTTGAAGGATTCCGTCGACCGTTGAAAAATTGCCTTTTCACGCCCTTATGAAAACGGCAAAAATTGCGTAGTTTTACGGGTTTAAAACGCATCTTGGTATGTCCGATATGAACTAAAACAAATACTGTGCAAAAGAGTGTCGTTTCTACTATGACAACATGGAAAAATATTTCTGGGCAATCGAGGTTCACACAGGTAAAATACAAAAGTTCGTGACAGTCTCTTCTCAAATTTGCATAACGCGGTATGTTATAAGAACTCTATTGTTGAGCACTCTAGTCTGTTTTTGTTCCATCTGTGGGCCATGCTTTGGGGGAAATATACAAAAAGAGAGTTGATCCATGTCGTTATTACAACATTGTTTCAGTATTTCACGCAAGATACAAAAAAACTATAGAGAAAGCCCAAAATATAAGTTCAAAGTTACATAGATTAAACACGCTACATGTATTACGTGACTGGCGTCACGTAAGATATATTTTCAGTTAGCTCCGATTGGAATTCCCCGATTATTGAGGCTTAGACACTTGTTTATAATAGAAGCATATAGGGGTTTGTCTTTCCCGTCTATACACACTCGATTAGTCTNCGGACATACCAAGATGCGTTTTAAGCCCGTAAAACTACGCAATTTTTGCCGTTTTCACAGGGGCGTGAAAAGACAATTCTTCGACGGTCAACGGAATCCTTCAAAATGCTTGAAAAATTTAAAACTTCCTATTGTTAGATAGACGAAAAGTAAAGCTCTTATGCTAAGTTTACCCAGTGTTCTAGTTTTGTAAATTGTTTCAATGCGAATACCGAGAACTTTGTCAATTTTCCAGATATTTTTTGCATATTTAATAAGGCAAAAAGCTATTTTTTCGTTTTTTGCGAATTTCTCGAAGACTGTACATTCTAAGAAAATCGGAATAATATTTTCGAAAGTAACTCCCTAAAAGCGTTCTTTAGGCAAGGTTTCAGGATTTTCGATTTTTCTAACCTGGCCAGCCATTCTCGATAGTTTTTTTAAGTCAAGAGACCGTAAATGACCTTCTTGTAATGTTCTCAGGAATTTAACTATCCATCTGCATTAAAATGTTCCTCCAAAACTTTGGAAAAACTAAAAAACGTCGTCATGACACAGACGACCTCCAGCCACTGCACACGGATAGCTGATAGTGTGCAGTAGCGCAGCCAATCAGATTGCAGCCGTTTGCATTAGTATTCAAGTAGAATTCTACTAATATGTGGTAGACACCGATTGAAACACCAAACAACACATATCTAACAATGAATTTCTACACGAGGGGAAGAATTTTACAAAAGCGTATATTTCATAAGTGGTTGTAAATAGCAATGCATTATGTTTTACCTCAATCCATGTTGTGATACCGTTATGAACTGGTGCCAAGTTTCCACTTGCTGTTGTGCTGTGATTGGCTGATACCAGGACTGATGGTGTATTGTTATAACTTCGTACAAACTGCACAAACTATAACGTGAAAAAAAAAATCTAATTATTCTTATCTGTATGTGCATTTTACACCGCAAATGCGCGCCATATTAGCGGCAAGTCATATATATTGTTAGTACATAGAGGGAAACGTAGAGAACTACTTAAATACTTAAATTATTTTCATCTAGAATTACATCTAGAGACAAAATTCAGCTTTCTCAATTTTTCCTGTCGGTTCTTGATTTTCCATGCGGTTGCAAACTTACCTCGCAATAAGCGTTGTTGTTTTCATCTGTTGGTGGGTTTGTGTTTGGAAACTTGACAGAGCCATGTTCAGTGAAGAGCGGTTTGTGAAGTTTAGAAAATGCCAACCAGTTCTGTAGTAAAATGACAGGGATTTAGTATAGGAATTAAAACAAATTCTTCTAGACTTCCCCGGGCAAAACGTAGCTTTGAAAGCCTTAAGAAAAGCTGAGTCCAACGCTGAAAAAAAAAAAGAAATAGACTATTTCTCAAAACCGGTCCCCTATCAGATCTTATCACCTGGATTGCATAACTAATTACAAAAGAATTGAGAAACTTTGCGTCAAAGAGATTCATTCTACAGATTCAAAACTTAAGCTTATGGTCTTGCTCCACCTATAAATGTTTTCTCAATAACGGCACTACATTGAAACCGTTCCGAAGCAAACTTTGGAAGGGGAGAGTTTTCTTGGTCTCTTTTCTTTTAAGGATAGTATCCCAGCATTTTCCAAGTGGTTAAAGGTGGATAAATAGATAGTCTTTCTCTGCACAGCCTTAACGGACTGAATCATTTGTCGTGTTATTTTGTTATGAAGTACATACCACACTAATGTCTTCATGTTTTCCATCAAAGTTTTGCAATTCTCGGAGGCAGACTTTAAATGAGTCCTTGGTTATATCCTCTGTCCAGATCAGCGCGGCATCATACTCCTTACCAGTCCTTAGATGTTCTGCTGTTATGAGTACTACAGGTTCGTCCTTAAACTTGTTCTGAAAACGTACGAGGAGGAAATGTGAAATCAAGTTAAAGAAAGTAACATCACTTTTTAACAGTGTTCCTAACAGAAAATACGCTTCAAACAATCGACCCAATCACCATGAGATATACATGTCAAGATGAACCAAGACCATGGCAAGGGCTTTCACCGAAAAGCTTTTCACATTTTAAGGCGTGATTGTTATAGCTTGAGTGTGGACCAAGGGAAAATGCTATTATCAACTTTTTTGCACATCAACAAAAACATGATTTACCAGGAAAATCTGGATAAGCCGCGCGAAAGAGCGAATAATGACTGATTTTTACTTTAAGTGAAATTATATTTCTCGCTGGAATGTCACATAGTCTGGAAAGTTTCCAGTATAGCACGGTGCACATTTTTCTGAAAATACAATAACTTCACTAAAAGATGAAACTTTTGTCGAAAAATTACCAAGCACTGTTATACAGGTTACGGCAATTTCATTTTTATACAGTTGTTAACTCGTTCCTGCGCTGTAATTGCACAAGAATTCCACCAGACATGAAAAATCAAATTTAAGTCTTCAGGTTTGAAATTTTTCATCAATCCTTTCAGGAAAAGAGGAAAAGGCAGCTAATTCTACCTTGGGAAAAGTTACATTAGCACAATTTGTTCCAGACCACCATTTCTGCATCTTGATTTCTCCCGTCATTCCTTCGGGCGGTGCTCCCTGATACGGCATCCAATCAACAGTCGCAAATGGATTAAAGTTCTTCCTCTTTCTACTAGATTGCATTGCGCAAACTGTAAAATTCTTTGTATTATTGTTTTCAGTCCAGGAAGCAATGGCGTCGTGCACAGTTTCAGAATCATTTAGATTCATGTGATTGGCGGTTATCTGCACATGGACCTGTTTATCTGGATAAAAGCGGTATGGAGGAAAAGCGACCGTCTCACAGCTTGAATCGGACCACTTTGGAACACGAAGAAGTTCTACGCGACCATGCACAATTGGGAAACCTGTTTAATTAATTGAAAATTTAGTCAGTCTTATCATTTTCCAAGTGTCAAATCATATTTAATGTGAGTAACTAACCTGTACAAAGAATGTAAAAACAACTAGGATCTTTTACCTTTTATATCTTTAGATTTTAATTTATAAGGACCAACTGCCATCCATGTAAATCAGCGAACGAGCAATAAATATATCCATAAATTAATATTACATTACAGTGTGTCTTCTCGAGTTATACAGTTTACTTTCAAAATTTCAGTCTCCGACCCGGAGAGTCCCATTCAGGGAAAGTTGACCAATCAGTTTCAAACTACTGAAACCGGAACCACATGCGCTAGTACCGATAAGCCATCCGTCTCTTGCGATACCAGATTAGAACGGACACGTACGATTTTAATTTAACACAGACCCTTCCTTACCCTCACAGCTTTCTGGGTGATACACAAGATTATTCTCCAGTCCTCTACAGTAGTACAGCTCATGCCAGCATTTGTTGTCGTATGTTGTTCCATTCGCGGTGCGCACTGGGTCATGGTATGAAGGGCAGTCTTAGTAACACACACAGCGAGCTTCATGAGCGCTCGGAAAGTCTTACACACTCCAAATGATGGACAATGCACGCCAAGGCATGGGTTCAGGTCTGCAAAACAAAAGAATATTTTGGAGTTGGTTTGTGTGAAATAGAGGATATCATGTGGAACATTAACCGCTTTTTGTCTGATTTGTCAAACACTTTTTTCTTTTGTCAAACACTTACTGTTTTGCCTTTACCACTGTCAACTTTGGCTGCATTGCAATTTGATTTCATAACCGGGGAGTACACCTTAACAATCAATGATATCAGCAAGTGATCAAGTTTGAAAGATCTGTTTCTTAATTACCCAGTTTATTATTTAAATGGTCGTTCAAATACCGAAGGCTAAGTATAGTCGCTTTAAACAAACTGTCAACTCTTCTAAGCATTTGTTTCTGTACATACAAACTGAAAGAATTCATTGTGAATTGGTAAACGATTGCAACTTTCTTTAATTATCTCCTTCAGGGCGACCGAGTGTCTAATGATGCGATTAAGTTTTATCCAGAGTAAAATTATAAATAGTACATAAAACAAACCTCCAACGACAACATAGTTGACAGACAGAGGGTCGTGTTTACTTCCTGATCCACTCAAGTCTTTGACACAAATCCTCACTGCTGTCAGACCAACTTCCTACAGGAGAAATGAGATATAATACACGTCATGTAACCTTTTGTAATAAACGATGGACTTACATTGTTAATAGTCTTAAGACTTCTTTTTGAATACTGTATTTACTGTGGTTACACACAGTTTTAAAGAGAATAACGAGGACGAAACTTCCGTTGATAGGCATGCAATAAAGAGTTATGTCCTACCTTGACCCAGGCCGTTATTATGTTGTATTCTGGTGGAATGTGGTTTTTCACTTTACGATCGTAATCATGATGAACAGACACGAGTACAACTGGTGACGCATAAAAGGTGGTGTTGAACTGCACTTGCTGTGAAGAGAAACACGAAAGGCGTTTAAACCAGTCAAATTGCAATTTTCCTCTGCAGTAAGATTTAACACGCAAGAAATATCAGCAGATCGTCTTGAGACAACCACTCTCATAATTGATATTTTGTTGAATTCGACAATGTGTTTGTTGGATCACCCTTCAAATTTGCAATAGATGATACTGTCAGACCTATCAGCTGTTTACTGCTGTTTTCCGGAGATAAATAACGATCAAGTGATTACTGCTTCTATGAGATGATTGACACGCGCTTATCAAATTCACTTACTTGACAAAAGCCATAGTTATCGTCAGTTGTTGGGTTTCCTGTGTTGGGGAAAAATGCTTCTCCTACCAACGTAAAATTAAATTCAGAACCATTGCCAAAGAAAGCAAACCAATCCTGTAAAGGAAAAGGAAAATATTTTATTAAAATTGGTACTTGTCAACAAAGACATTATAAATATTTCAAATGAATTAGACAACAGAGCAGGAAAGTTAACCGGTATTAACGGATCGAAAGAAGAGGATATGACCGGAGAAAATTAAGGAAAGCAAACAAATTGTAAAATGAGAATCTAAATTGTAATTAAAATATTCCTTTTTAGAAATAATTCAGTCTTCAAAACTTATTGTGTAGTATTTTGGGAGCAGTAAAAGAAGAGCGGAGTGGTCTACAATATGTTACGATACCTAACTGTCCTGGAAGAAAATGGCTGCAACAAATACTTTAACGTTTATTCGCCATCACATCTTAAGCACTAATGGACTCTTAAAGTCTCAAAAGTACATCAAAAGTACATCACGTACTACAATTGTGTTTTGATGTTTTCCGTCAAATGGCAAGAATTCCCGGATGCAAACTTCGAAACTTCCAGAATTCACGTTCTCCAACCAAACATACATTGCGTCATCAGGCTTTGTGCTACGAGCGTACTTAGCTGAGACAAACACAGAAGGTATATCACCGAAACTCTGCAAACAACACAAACTTATGTTACATTTGATACATAAAAGAATGTTCTTTGACGAGAAGATAGGCTCAAGATTTTGACATAATAATAAGCGCCCCTCCAATCGGCCAAAATTTAAAATAAGCTTAAAATAAGTGCCCTCGATAAACAGCTGATGTTGTCGTTTACGCGCAGATGATGTATTAAATAAATGATATGTCATGCCACGATTTGGGAAAAATTAAATAAGCGCCCCCCTGGGATAAACGACCTCCGTCTTCTCCTAAATTTGAGAAAAGCGCCCCGAGCGCTAATTCGAGGATTTACGATAGTGAATAAACTGTTAGCAGAGTAGGAAATAGGGAAATTTTCTGGAAGCGCTGAAACTGAAAATTACTCATCAGAGCATGCAGGATTCTCCCTCTAATTACTTAATGGGAGTATCCCTCCATAGCTGGTGCTACAGGTAACTTGATAAAAAGGAAGAAAGGTACAAAGGAAACGAAAAGGAAAGGTGTGATCGAAATTTTGTTCGCTTAAAACGAGAATTTCATTTCCATTTCTTTGCAAACCATCGCCTCAA